CTGTGCAAAAACCCTTTGAAGGTGCCGGGAGCCTGCTGGACATCTGGATGAGATTCTTCCAGGCCCCCAACCCCATTTAACTTCAGCAGCAGCAGCAGCAGCAGCAGCAGCAGCAGCAGCAGCAGCAACTGCACCTCAGACCACTTCCTCCACCCCATTCCTAATGCAGAAGATCTTGTTTGCTCTGCTAAAAAGAAACCTTTGGGGGAGACTCTTTAGAGGCCAGCGATATGGGGGATTGTGAAATACTGCCACTGCAAAAATTCCACCCAATCCCTACATGTAGCTCTTCACAGAAAGGGAACTAGAGCAGGAAAAGTTGCTTTAAGAAAAGCAGCTTGTTCTGTGGGGTGGCCATCTTCCTCCAGCAACAACTGGCAAGACTGGCAAGACTGGCACTGGACCCCGGACCTGTCTCATCAGACCCACTTACTCACCCATGTGCCCCTCTTTCTGCAAGACAAAGCCAGTATTCCAGCCCTCAGTAGCCAGCAGCATTTTGGGACTCTAGACATCTAGACACGGGCAGAGCTGGAGCCCACACTGCCAGCAGCAGTGGGAGATCAGACACCCAGCCATGGTTTTGCTGCCTGGCAGGAGTCAAGCTCAGTATGTCACCATCCCCGAAGGGCTCCTCATGCTCATGCCCATGCCCATCCTGGAGGACTGACCCTGCCCTAGGCGGCAGCTATCCCGAAGGCCTGGCTCACTGTTTTCTGGCCGCTACACTGCATGCGTGAGGAAGACCCTCAACCCCCAGAGACCACTCCCACTAGCCCTGCCCTGCCACTCAAAGCTAACTGCTGACACCAACTCAGGCCTCTGACTGCCCTAACCTTCATCTCTAAGCCCCTCACCGATGCTCTGACACACTCTAACCTTTAATCCCAGTGTTGATGGGACCTGTCCCCCATGGAGACAACTGTGGACAATTTTTATGACCAATGTGAGGCAGAACCAAGCTTCTCAGAGCAGTTCCAGCTGCTTGTCCTCATCCCGAGAGGAAACTGTCCTTCGGTCCTTCTGCTTGGTCCCTCACAGGCAGTGGAGGAGACCTTCCTGTTCCATTCATCTGCTACAAAGAGGGAACAGAGCGGCCCAGCCATCTGTCCTGGGGGCTGTCTGTCCCAGAAGCTCCCTAGACTCTTAGCTCCCCACCCCCTGCTTTTTTTATTTTCTTAAGTGTATCTATTTATTTATTTGTTGAAAGAGAGAGAGAGAGAGAGAGGTTCCCAAACAGGCTCCACCTTGTCAGTACAGAGCCCAATGCAGGGCTCAAACTCACGAGAAATGGCAAGATCTTGACCTGAGCTGAAACCAAGAGTCGGATGCTTAACTGACTGAACTAGCCATGCACCCCAGGAGGCCCCTTTAGAACAATTCTGACCCTCAACCCTCTCCTTGCCTGCTGGATTGATTTTGTACAAACCCGGTGCTGATCAAGGCTCCCTGAGCCCCAGAACTCTGGATGGCTCCTCACACTCAGTGCCTTCTGTGACCCAGGGCCCACCTGACCCTTGGCTTGTCTCTCATCACACCCTCAATACACTAGATGGTTTATCTTTCCAAAGCCAACCCTATAACTTCCCTCCCCTGTGCCATTGCTGGCTCAGCATATTCTAACCTGGGTTGCTGCCACAGGAGGCGTACAAGAGGGGCTGAGAGGGCTCATCCCTCCTGGCACTGGGGATTTGGGCACAGCTGCCGTTCAGTTGGCCAGACTATTCAGGGCCATCTCCCTGGCAACCACGAGCCCCAAGGAGAAAATTGAGATGGCCTAGACACTGGGTGCCACAATGGGGTTTGGTTATAAGGAGGACTTCTCTGCAAAGAGGCTGAAGGCCATGCAGAGTACAGATGTGCATGTTTCTGCAGTGGCTTGTGCATTTGGAGGAAAGGCCAAACTGATCCTTACTCCCCACCTCAAGGGAGCTGCCTTTTGTCCTACCTACTCTTCTTCCATAATCTTTTCCTCCTCTTTTCTCTCTTGTATTAGTTACCTATTGTTGCATAACAAATTGCCCCCAAACTTAGTGGCTTAAAACAGCAAACATATATTATCTCACAGTTTCTATGGGTCAGGAACCTGGGAACAATTTAGCTGAGTCCTCCAGCTCAGGTTCTGTTGTGGTTACAGGGAGATATGGTTCACTGAGACTATGAGTGTAGCATTCCAACTCAATTTTTAAAATTTTAAATGTTTCATTTCTTTCACATAGCTCAACATGTAAAGTGCTTATTCTTTTTTTTTTTAACGTTTATTTATTTTTGAGACAGAGACAGAGCATGAACGGGGGAGGGTCAGAGAGAGGGAGACACAGAATCTGAAACAGGCTCCAGGCTCTGAGCTGTAAGCACAGAGCCCGACGCGGGGCTCGAACTCACGGACCGCGAGATCATGACCCGAGCCGAAGTTGGCCGTCTAACCGACTGAGCCACCCAGGCGCCCCATAAAGTGCTTATTCTTTTTGTATTTTGTATTTTGTTCCCTACCTCCCATGAGGTAGGCACTGTCTCCCAAAATAAGATATATAAAAATAACTCCATATAAAAAGATTCTGTATCCTTTTTCATGCTCACATGACCATATAAGTATGTGTATAGCCATGTATATGCATATATGGACATTTGCCGTTGTTTTACCAAAATGTTACTCTCATTAAATGAATGTTTCACAGAAATCCTTCTATGTCAACTGCTATAGCTCTAAGGCATTTTTCAAATGGATGTATGGGTTCATCATTTATCCAGCCATTCCCTGAGTAATGGGATTTATTTTGTTTCTACATTTTTTCTCTATGATCAATGCTGCAAGAAACATTTCTCTACATATGTCCTTATATACTGGCATTTATTTCTATAGAACAAACACTTCAGAAACATGTACTATACTGTCATTGTTATCATTATCATAGTATTGTCTGACATCTGGTAATATACTTACTACTGTTTTTCATATATTTCTTGGCCATTTGATATAGATGGCAAGAAGAGGGACAGTAGCTGATGGGCATTAAATTTTTTTTCTATTTTATTTTATATTTTATTTATCTTATCTTATATTATCTTTTGAGAGAGAGCATGAGCAGGGGAGGGGCAGAGAGAGGGAGACAGAGGATCCGAAGCAGGCTCCACCCTGTCAGCGGAGAGCCAGACATAGGGCTCAAATTCACAGACCGTGAGATCATGACCTGAGCCAAAGTTGGATGCCCAACTGACAGAGCCACCCAGGCACCCCTGATGGGCATTTTTGTAAAACAGAAAGCTTTATGAAAAAACATAATTTGGGGGTGCCTGGGCAGCTCAGTCAGTTAAGCATCAGACTCTTGATCTTAGCTCAGGTCAGATTCAAGCCCCGTGTTGGGCTCCACACTTGGCATGGAGCCTACAAAAACATTTTTTTTTTTTCTAATAACCTTCTTGCAAGAGGTGTGCTCAGCAGAGGGATGTAAATAAAGAGATAAGATTTTGCAATTGGCAGGAGAGACATATACAAGACAGCTTGCTGTAGTTAGAGCCTTGGACCAGGACCCAGAAGATATGAATTTGATTTTTGGCTCTGACACTCACTAGCTATGTGCTCCTTGAAATCAAATTAGTCTTTCTATATCTGAGTTCCTTTCTAGTAAAGTGTTATGAAGATCCAATGAGGATGCATGTGAAGAGGTTGTAAATTATAAGGCACCACAAGATGTTACCTAACTTGTTTTTGTACAAGCACACACATGTGTGTATTCTTCTAAATCAGCACTTAACTGGGGGGGGGGGG